TATGTGTGTTAGCATACGGTATTTGTTTTTCTCCTTCTGACTTACTTCACTCTGTAGGACAGACTCTAGGTCCATCTATCTCACGACAAGTAACTCAATTTTGTTTCTTTTTATGGCTGAGTAATATTCCATTGTATATATGTGCCACATCTTCTTTATCCATTCATCTGTCAGTGGACACTTAGGTTGCTTCCATGTCCTGGCTATTGTAAACAGAGCTGCAGTGAACATTGTGGTACATGACTCTTTTTGAATTATGGTTTTCTCAGGGTATATGCCCTGAGTAGTGGGAGTGCTGGGTCATATGGTCATATGGTAATTCTATTTTTAGTTTTTTAAGGAACCTCCATACTGTTCTCCATGGTGGCTGTATCAATTTACAGTCCCACCAACAGTGTAAGAGGGTTTAGGGCGTTAACTTTTAAAGCACTTCCGATCTAGAGATGTTTTCTAAGGGTTTCTGGAAGAGTCATATAGTGATAATACAGAAATGTAGGCTTATGACTTAAAATATGCTTTCTTTTGATTCATAATAGCCACTAAATTGGATCTCCCAAAGCAACTGCATTTTTTGATGTTGAGGATAATGGCATTACCCATACATTAAAATGAAAATTTGGCACATTAAAATAAACTTGCTAATTATATTTTGTGAAAGTACTTAAAGAACCTTAGGTTTTCCCACTGGATTTTATTCCCAAATGTTTTAACATATAGAGAAAATCATCAATTATACTGGTCAGCGCCTTTTACATGAAGCCCATGTCGTATATTTCTCTCAGAATTGAGTGTTAGAAAAAAAATGAACTGGTATGATTTCTTACATTAGATATTTAGAATTACACAATTCATCATGTTTCACTCTTCACTGTGGCTTCTAGGCAAGCTCAGAGCTAAAACTTGTACTTAACTGGAGCATTTTCTTTAAAAGTATGGATTTTCTGATGCGGTTAATATCATTTATTGCTTAATTACCATTTTCAGTTATATTGCATCTGTATGTGTTTATCATAAAATGCTGCCTCAAATCCTTTTTGAAAATGCTTGGAATATAAAGAAATTAAAATCAAACGTCTTCAACAGAAAAAGTACTAGCCACCCCAAAGCCCAAAGACCATGTATAGGTTCAACAATAGTGTTCAGAACATACATATTGTTAAATTCACCCTTCGAGTAATCTTTGAAGAATAATAACCCATACTTAATCCACTGCACACATGTACACACCCAGTTCATAAATGGACATTTTATCTTGTGCCCAGATTCCCAAATTCATGGAAGATAATGTTATCAAGATATAATTTTTAAAATTGTCCTATCATAAACATCTTTTTTGGAAAACTTTTTTTTAAGTGTAAGAGAGAAAGAAGAGGGGCTCTAAAAATCCCACATTTTAGAATCGGCGATCGATGTAGCCTCTTACTGTCAGTCAGTATGGCAAAATCCAGATGATCTGTCTTTATTGTGCAAAACTGTTCATATGAGAATCATGATTCTCAGTTTAGGGAATCAAGACAGGCATCGAGATGCCAGCATTAGGCAAGACCCACCTCACTATATACAAATCCCCAGTTAAATGTATTTTCAGATGTCGCTGAAAACCCTCTCCACTCTACAGATGGTGGTTCACAGTGGCTGCCGTGGTTCCTCTCTCACTACTCAATGCATCCGAACCTCAACAGCTCACAGAGAGAGCTGTCCCAACATGGGGACACCACCTCTGGGGCGAATCACAAAGGTCTTCTAGAACAGTCTCTACAAGGGCTCATACACACCATTCACTTCAGCAGCAAACATCAAAGATCAAGCAACCTCTGAGTGGTTCAGGGTCCTAAAAGCGCAACCAAGGGATCAAGGAATCTACGTTCTGTTTTTCTTCAAGTTCGAGGGGATAAACTGCAGAAATTCTTTCACTACATTGCAGTTCAAAAGCAAAACAAGAATTACACGAGGACTACCATGTTGGAAGAAGCTTTCCTAAGATGATCACAACAAAACTATAAATGTCCTTTATGTTAAAAAACATGATGGACTCAAGCAAATCATTCTCCAAAATAACTTCAATAAGAGGGATCTGGCAAATGAGAACTATCTGATAATGAGGTTGCGAATTTCCATATGTCTTGAAATCTACTGATCTGGGTGCTTTTCCTTAAACGTTATGACCTCAGGTACATAGCAGACTGAACATCTTATATGAAGGTAGGAAAATTTAATGTGCATGTTAGCAAATGTAAGTATCACAACATAAACTCTCCCATCGTTGAAAATCAAGGCATTATGGCAAGAATATAAGGTATGCATAGAATAATTAGTTAAATGCACCAAATAAAAAGAGAGAAATGGTTGTTAACTGTCCTTAGTTACATCACTGTATCTTATTGTTTCTCTATAAAACAAAAATTACTTGAATAACAACGCACCTGTAATAATTATATAGCATATTCACCAAAAGGGAGCTCCCAGTTGATATGATTCACCTTAAGGTAGGTGACTATACTTTATAACAATGGTTTTATTAGCATACAACATATTACATAGTTGAAAGAAGCCAAAAGTAGATTTTTAGTATATTGCTTGCAATCAAGAATCTGACAGAAGAAAAGCAGCGAACAAAGCCAGAGCCCCCGGAATAGATATTTCACTGTCCTCTTTTGCTTAAATATTCCAACTAGTCCTTTTTACAAAATGGCCTCCATTGCTAAATGGGAGCAGCCGGGCATGAATTGAATATCAAATGTCTCCCTGGAACGCAAATAAGACATTACACAATCCAGTATTTAAGATACTTGTGTTTGTTCTGCATCAAACCACAAAACAGTGATTTTTTAAAAAGGCTCTTCTATTTTAAAAAAGATATGTCACTTTGCTTTTTCTGAAATTTGTGAATGGAATTCAGAACCTAAAAGGTATTATGCATTAGACTACTTAGACCACAGTCATGAAAAGATATATTTGGAAAATTTAGGACTTACCTGAGGAAACCGTGAATTAATAGCCCCAATAAATAGTCCAAAATAAATACAAGTTTCAGCATTTTGGTATACACGATAAGATTTTTTAAAATATAACTTACTGATAAGAGTTTTTTAAAACTATGTTCTCTAAAAACAATTTAGCATAGCTTCTGCAGAAAATCATTTTCATTTTGATCAAGAATGCATTTAGCCTAAGTTTCCAATGCTTACTAGCATTCCCGGGACAGCAATTCCAATTGTTCCAAGAAAGACAGAAAATCTCAGAAATATAATCAATCGTATGCTACAGCATTTGAAGAGGTCAGATTAATACTTCAATTAGAAGAAATTCAATTAATAACTTCATTATACTCTCCCTGTGGCTTAATTATATGTAATAATTCTAAAATTTCCCTTTTGTTATCACTGGATGAACCGCACCCTATATATGGCAGATACGACATATGCAAAGTCACAAAGATTTCCTCTAAATTTGGCCTCTGTTTGTGTCAGCTTTCTACAACACCACGAAAATAGTTAGAAGTTGTATAAATTAATGTATTTAACTGTATCGATTATTCAATTCTACCATGCAAACAGATCCTGCACTGATTCAGAACCCAAATATCTTCTCAAAGAAGACAATGGTAAGGCTTAACATCATCTTCGAAGGAGAATGTAAGTGTGAAAATATTCTTAACAAATTGTAATACTAACAATTAAAAGATCAGAATATATTTTATAAAGGCTCTAATGAGGTTGGTGGCAAAAATATAACACACGTTGATTTCACAGGAACCACCTGACTATTCTGGTACTAGGGCTACTACAATGACTACCTCTTTAATTAACAAACCCCCATAAAACAAATTTAAATAATTTTCCTAGAAATGCATGTGACTGACAAAAAAGCCTGTACCTCCATCTTTATCCAAAGGTAAAACACAACGCAAGGTCAAATGAAGATGACCAATAGCCCTATTCTTTGCCTTACCGTCTCCCGCCTTCCACTCAAGACATAACATCTATTCAATCAGCAGTACTTTTATGTTTAGATAATTATGGAATTGCTTAAACGCATATTATAACAAACAGAAGGTCTATTTCGCTATTTAAAATCTACGTTATTTGGGGAGGAAGGATAACCAGGAAGAAGCTCATGTATGGTGTGGATAATATGGCTAGATTTCAATGGGAGAGAGGTATTTAGACCTAGTAGATGGTATGGTTTTATTAGAAAAGAAAATTATCTTTTTATTGTTATCAATTGCTCTTCAATTTTTCTTTAATAAAATTTCACAGCAACCTCCTCAAGAGGATACACTAAAGGCCTTTGATTATATATACCGTAAAGAATGTATTGTACCACAAAGAAACACACCCGATAAGATTTTTTTCCATCTGAAATTTATAAAGGTAATTTTCCATGCTGACAGTGCACATTCCATCCCTAAGTTTGAAGAGTCAAATGCTGCCACAGCTGGGGGTTATTCTGCAAATGGCCTCCAGCAGGGACTGCAGGGGTGAGGCAGGAGGCGTGGCGTGCTCATGGGGGGTAGCCCTTCTCTTTATCAGTTATCATCTCAGTAACCTAATCAAATATAGAGTCCAAAGAAAAAAAGCAACACTAGGAAGGAAAAGCAAATATTAAAACAGCTGCTTGATTACCTACAGAGATTAAAACAAAAAGCAAGGAGTGAGGCTGATATATTTCCTAGGGATTTGCTAAGGCTGAGGGGAGGGGTAAGGGGCAGATACCTTAAAAAAAAATCCATCATGAAAGGAACTGAGACAAGATTATAAAAAAGGGGCCAAGTTATAGCGCGCCATGGGATTTTTAATCTGGCTACCTGTGGTTTCTGTAGTTAAAGCTTTATTCATCCCCCAAAAGAGGGGGTGGGGAGAAAACAAAAAAATCACATTTATTTGTCAGTTTTGCAAATGATCAAACACCGTGCATCAACAAGAATAATAAGAAAACATGAAACGCTGATGACTTTTTAAAAATAGATCCCCGTTGTATCAAATATTATTGATAATTACCTGTGAATCTCGTTTCCTGAACTCTTGGATTTGATTTTCGTGCTCCATATTGGCAGTGTGAAGCTGTTTCTCCAGGTCTCCAATTTCCCGTTCATGGTCTCGGACTAGGCTATCCTTCTCTGCGTTATGCTGCTGTAATAGGTGCGTCTTCTCCTGTTCATGCTCCAGCTTCAGCTCTACTATCTGATTGGACAATGAGGACAGTTCATCAACAGAACATCCTTGTCGTCATGACAACTCATGGCCAGCTTAATTTTTCTCTAATTTGCCCAAGTTGAAAATTTTATTTTTTGCGTCATTATTACCTCACCCTTAAAATACTCTCATTTTGCGGGGGGGGGGGGGTGGATTTTATCTAAACCTCCTAATATTCAAGACAGTTGGGCATATTCAGTAAATCCTTCTGCAATCTATTGACACAAATGCCTGAAACATTGAAAAAAATTATGTCGAATGCTAGGTATTTCCTCCCCAAGAATTTGGGTATTACTGACCAGCAATGGTTATAAATGGTTAATCGTCAGTACGCTTTGCTTTTTGCTGAAATATATACAACGTAAAAAGCAGCAATTAAATCGGTCAGTTTTCTTTATGGTTTTCAAATAAAAGATCGAAGCTAAATACGCATCTGGATTATTGTATATACAGTTGTCTTTCTAAAAATAAAATGATAAATTTCAAAGCTCTATTATCTCGTTGTCAGCTACGGTATACCAACATAAACAGATGTTATGTGTTCCAGAGGGGCACCTGCTGTGCTGCAGGCTTGCGCCATGATTTCATAAAAAGCATTCTATTCTCAGGATCCTTTCCCAGTCCACTCCACACTGGAGACTGTGACCTTGGCCAGTCTTAGCCTCTCCCTGCTAGACTGAATGGCAGCCCGAGACCGAGGGCCTGGTTGCCGCAGCTTTGATACTAATCCTCCCAGGCTGTGCACAATGGCACCCTACCTGGCCTGCACACTATAGCCAGCCAGGCTGTCTTTGAAGCAGGTGATGAATAGGGACTGCAGGAAGCCAGCTTCCCCAGTGAACTCCAGGCCACACAGCTGCTAAGAACAGTCACTTGGATTTTTCTTCAGTTTTGGTGGATTTCAGGGGGAAAAACTGCTGTTATCTAGAATACGCTGTGTTATTTTCGGCGTGAGAATCCATCTTCAAAAAAGCTAACAGTAGGAGCCTGCTCCGAATCGATCTTGTTTCGTGCAGTGAATCACCAGACTACCTTATCTTAAAGCTATAGCATTCACTTCTCCAGGCACGCACGCTACACCACATTTCAGAAGTTATTTTCTCTGGAGATTTAAAACTCTCATCCTCTAATTGCAAATTAAGAATCAGAACAGAGATTAAAATTGTTTTTAAATGTACGTTTCAAAATGTTTTCTTACTGGGATTTTTCTTTGAGGGTGGGAAAATCAACAATAAACTCCTAACCGCTCATAAACTTACTATTTAGAAGAAAGAAAAGTGCACTAACTCTGGAGTATACACACTTATCGGAACAAGATAGTACAGAAAATAATACGGAAAATTTTATTTTGCATCTGAGAACAAAGACGCATTCTAGTGAATTTATGTCTGTTTAAAATTTAGGGATCTTTCTTGCCTATTATTCTACTATAGGCAATATACAGAAAAAATGCATATAAATTTTCTCTTTATCATGCCAAGTAGAAAAGTTTTCTATGATTATTTAAAATAAATGTGCATGGTTTTCTCTGTGATTCACACAACTACAATGTTAATCCCAACAAAAAAGAGAATTTAAAATTTTATTGACATTACTGCATCATTTTCAGGCAGCCAAGTATATGAATTACTGAGTTAGGATATTTTTAGAACAGTCTTGGACACATTATTATTTCTACTCAGTGTTATACTATCAAGCATTATAATAATGAAATTATAAATTTTAGTAAAACATTTAAACATGTACCACACTGAAAGGAAACAGAAAGAGGTAAAAAGTTCTACTGAGATCTGATTCTCAAAAGCCTCAAAAAACTGGGAGAATGGTGTGATTTAAAATTGACAGAAAGCAAAATATTTTACAATACTCTAAGGAAAAGTAACCGATTGACTTTTCCTTAGAGTATTTAAGGAATAGTAATTTTAAGTAATTCTTCTTAAAATTACTATTTAAGTAATTTTAAGTAATTAAGGCAGAAGAATTACGGAAGTTTTCCCCCAAGAAAAGACACAAGACCAGGACTGGCTGTGAGATCGTTAGTAACAGTGCTGCCTGGGTCTAGGCTCCAGAACCAACACCCTTCCACAGAAACTCTGAGTTATCTGAGGAGTTCTGACACTTGGACCAGTGACCCTGCTTTCCGTTCATTCATTTTAAAAAGTCAGGAACAAATGAAATAGAGATAATGGCATTTGACGCCTAAAGATAGATGTTCATAAGTTAAACTATTAAAATAGTTCGCTGCTTTGTCAGGGTCCGTTGCTCAGTGATGCTGGTTAATGAACAAATCTCAAGGTTGCCAGAGCCTTTTCAGATGAAATCGCTCAGCCCTGTCTGCTCGATCCAATGCTGTTTGGCCAACTTCTAGAGGTTACAAGCCCCTTCTAGTGTTTGCCTAGGTTTCCTCACTGTCAGCAAGTTCAGGCAGGGGTGTCCTCTCCAGATTAATGGTAGAGTCCAGGAGAAAAACCCTAATGTTCTGGGAACATCTTGATGATGATATTCATAACCATATTCAATGCCATCATCAAGGTGGATCTGTGTTAAAGTTCAACCTAGCCCCTTCCAGGTAGATAAATGTCCTTTACATGTGGGTGCTTCTCAACAGCAAACAGGAAGTAGCGTATCCTCTTTACCTTGAGCTACTAGATACTTTTAGTTGACCACAATAATGTGCAATGGAGCTCGCGGTTACCAGGAGGTGGTACGTCATGGAGAGTGTGGAGGATGGGAAAGCAGACAGCATCTGCAAGGGTGAATGATGAAGTGGTCAGTGGGGTCTCTAGGTCAAGGGGGTCCAGAGCCCATAATCTATGCTCCAGGGGGAAGAGGAGGCCCCATCACCAAGGAATTCTTAAGTAAGGCAGGTAAAGAGCTCCCTGTAACGCAGAAGGGAAGGCTTTAAGCTCCCTAATCCAAAAGCATGGAGCTGTGGGCCAGGTAACTATGCTTGTAATGCCACTCGACGGGTGTGAAAGCAGGCTGGCATGTCTCCCAGGACAAGGGGAGTAATTAGGCCTCACGTGCAAGTGCCTGGGAGCACCTGCCAGCCTTTGTGATGCTGGACTTGATAGCCTGCTGGTTGGGGCCTGCGTGAGAAAATGGCTTTATTGCCTAGAAGCTACTAGGTTGACTCACACGAAATTATCCAACAGGAGATGAATAAGGGCCCTGCCCCACCCACTGTGCCATCCCAACGCACTCTGACCTTGAGGTTCTGAGATCCCTGAAGGCACAGTCCTCCTCCCAGACCGTATCCTGCCACATATGTCGATGGCCTCCTCCCTCCGCCTGAAGCTCCACGCATGTGTCCTTGGGTAGGAGCACACCCAGGCCCTGAGACTGGCCTCCTCCCTCCGCCTGAAGCTCCACGCATGTGTCCTTGGGTAGGAGCACACCCAGGCCCTGAGATGACAAGATGCGGGTGCTAGACAGCCAAGTCCCTGAGGGCCTTGGAATACACACGCTAAGTTCTCCTAACTGTTTTACAGCAGAATTAGTGCTAGCAAATATGGCCTGAACACGCTTTGATAATCTTATTTTTTGAAGTCATTACTTCTCCGTACACAGTATATAGAAGATCAACACATCCCAGTAATACTCCTCAAGGTCAGAAATTCCAAAACCAGAGGAGTAAATTAAAGACGTAATAGAATGCACCCAACACATAAAAAAGGAGGAACTGCAGTACAAAAATATTAACTGAAATAACCTCAAATGTAACCAGATGACAAAATCTATATTCTGCAAGCCCCATCATTCTGGACGGGAGGAAAACATACCTTAAAAATCAGAAACAACTAGAGTGATAGGAGAACTTAGTGAGAACATGAGTGCAATGAAAGAAGAAGTCAAAGACAAGAAGATAAAACAACAGAATTAACTAAGGATCAAATAACTGCATCACAAAATAAATTCTAAGTTAGAAACGAGTTGAATAAACAGGGCTAAAAATGGAACCACTGATATAGACAAATGACTGGAGATAATCACAGTAAAGGTCCATGAAGGACACAAAGAAAAGATAATATAGAGAGAAAGTGGAAAAAGAAAATCCGTGTGTGGGAAATTCCCTGGTGGTCCAGTGGTTAAGACTCTGCGCTTCCAATGCAGGGGACACGGGTTTGACCCCTCATTGGGGAACTAAGACCCCATGTGGCGCTCAGTGCAGGCAAAAAAAAAAAAAGAAAGAAAGAAAGAAAATCCGTGTGTACACAGGTACGTTATCAGAAGACTTCCCTGAAATGAATGAAGAGTTAAATGCCTATATCAAAAAAGCAAACTGTATACCAGGAAAAACTGATTTAGACTGAGTAAAAGAATGGCTCAAGAATACTATAACTAAACTCAAACATGGAAAAACTCAAAGATTATAGAACCTAAACCACTCTTGGAAAAAAAATACTTGAGGACGAAATTTAGGCAACCAAGAGATGACTGACAAAGCTGTGTTAAGAGCAACCTTTGTGCCAAAAGGCAGTGGGTCAACGTGTGCAAGCTTCAGGGAAAGAAAGGAGGAGCAGAGACTTTCATGCCCAGCCAAACTATCCTTCAAAACAAGGGAACAAGTGGTGACTCTCAAGCAGGCAGAAACACAGTGGATACGACAGCTACATGCCCTTCTGGGAAAAATGACTTGATGAAATCTCAGCAGTCAACAGATGAATCAAAATAAAGGACTCAGATATGAAAAAAAGTTCTGGTGGTGTACATATAATCGATTTAAACTTAAAAAGCTAACTATATGACTGTGAGAAGCATGGTTATGGAACAGAATATAAATGTTACAAAAGTCAACAATGTATAAATAATACTATAACTGAGAAGAAAGGTAGGGGTGGGTGGAAGGAAGTGGAAGCATGTATCTTTTATCTTTTCATAACAGGGAGTAAAAACTGAACCATAAAATTCAAAAATGCCTCTAATCTCAATGTATTTGTAATCTTTATTTCTTAACTTTCTAAGAAATCATTTCTTATATGATAAAC